ACAGCAACAGTAACAGTAACAGTAAAAGTAATATTAATAATACTAGTAATAGTAGCCGTAGTAGTAACAGTAGTAGTAAAAGTAAAAGTAATAGTGATAGTAATAGTATCCGTAACAGGAATAGTAATGGGAATAGTAATAGTAATAGTAACAACATGTTGCAGTTAAAGCATGTGGTACAAGGCGTCGGATGGAGCTGCACCATCGCATGGAGGCTCGCAGCCGCCTCTCCTGGAAGTTGAGCTGTAGTCAGACATTGCTTTCAGATGCAGAACCCCTTGCCAGAAATTTCGAAAAAAGAAGCCGTCAGCTGGCAGCTTGTACGAGTGGCAATACAAGATCGCCGGAGCCTGACGCCGCAGTATGTTTATGGAGCAGCGTCTTCGACTTTCAATCAGGCATTGGCCAAAACCTTCTTGAAGCAGCGAGAGCTGGCCGCTAAATCAGCGATTGAACCAGAGGACACGGAGCGTTCTGCATGGCCTTCTCTCATCCCGTATTGTGGCCTCATGCAGGAGGTTGGGCCGCTGTCTGAGGATGCGCCCGTCCCTACCCCAGCAGTACTTGTTGCTCGTCAATCTTGCACATTGCATCAGTCGTCGCGTCTGAGGGCAGGCCAACCCTCGCCGAATGGCTGAAGAAGAAGGAGGCCCAAGCCAGAAATGCGTGGAGTTTCAGACAGCATGCATGTCAATGACACAGACGTTCTTGCTCAGATGCCTTGTACTCCTCTGGCTAGAACTGCGCAGGACTTGGAGCTAGCTGAGAACGAGTGGTATGCACGTCCAGGTCTGGCCCAATGCAAAGCGTCAAGAGTTGAATTCGCCAATTCACTCAATTAACCGATTTGTGTGTTACCCAATTCTACTTAATACCCGTGTCGGATTGTGAGTGGAAGCTGCTTTACAGTGGCACCGCCTACTGCCTGTCCTCTGGTGATCAGCCAAGTTAATCAGGGCTCTTGGCAGCGCTGTGCGGCAGGATGGGGAAGGCTACGGTACCAAAAGCTCGAATATCCAAGAGAGATTGCCTTCGAGAGGAGGCCAGCGGTGAGCTTGTTGTGTCCACCTGGTGCGTGCTTGTACCGATGAGGGTGTCTGAGTTTAAACTCTGTCCACGCCTCTGGGTGCATTGAAAATCATCCTTTGTTTTGTGAAATTTGTCCTTAGCGGTATCAATTGCTCGGCTCTCTTTTCGCTATGTCTGTCCAATCTAGGTTTCCGAATCAGCCGCAAAATCTTGTTAAATCTGGCCTTCATATGGAGGTAATTCGTTTGCAATTTTCTTCAAACTTGGGGATTCCACACAAAGTTCAGCTTTCGGGTGCCGGAGCAGCAAGTCCAAGCAAAATTCACACATGCGCTGTTAGTTGGGCAGAATTGCTTGTAGGAGTTCAGGCTTGCCACCACCAATGCTGTTAGGGTTTATTCGTAATGGCATGCTTAAACCACAGGATCAGAATCCGTTTTCAAATGGAATCTGTCAACCCTGGCAGTGATGCTGACAGGTATTACGAGAAGTATGGAAAGGAGTACCACACCAAAGCGCAAGTTGGTGTACGCGGGCTTAGAGTTGGGGTGTGTTCCAGACTATATGGCGTTCCTTTTTTGGAGCTGATGGGTGCCTGAGGTGCCTTTCAAGAAGGGCGCGATCGACCTCAAAAAGGCGTGTCCAGAGGTTGCTGTTCATCCAACGCTGCCTCTCTGCCTACTTGCCCACTTGCGGTGTTTCTTTTGCGATCTGGTCAGGCGCGCAAAGGGAAGACGCAAACAGAAGCCTTGCCTTCCCAGGCCTTTCGAGCTACAGTCTAAACTCCTGTAAAGGGTGGTACATAGGGATTATATAGGGATCACAGGGTTGATATAGGGATGATGGAAAATAAAATGGAAACTACTTAGTGTATTGGGGAAATATAGGGGATCATATGGGGAAATACTATGGGGTTATTAAGGCCCCTATTAAGGGGGATACTAGGAGTTCAGACTATGGCTCATTTTGCTTTTGCTTTGCTTGGCGACCGGTTTTAAACCTTCTGTCAGCCTGTTTCCCGTCAGGGCTCGGAGGGCCCAAAAGTTGCCCTGGGAAGTCTGGCTGGTGTCGCCGTGTGGGGAGCTTTCAACACTTCACGAGATTTTATCAGACATGGAAACTACTATAATAGGTTATATACTAGGGTTATTATAGGGTATATATTGGGGATATATTGGGATAATGGAAAATAAAATGGAAATTATGATCATATATTAGGGTAATCTAGGGAAGTGCTTGACAACTTTGCTGCGATGCGAGGCTCACCGGTCTCTTGGGTGCTGCCAGAGGCCTTGCTGTCGGTTCACTTCGTTGCTCCTTTTGCCCGTCCACCCTAAACCCTGAACCCTGAACCCTAAACCCCAAACCCTCAACCCTGAACCCTGAAAACCCTCAACCCTGAACCCTAAACCTAAAACTTCTATCAAATCTGGTGAAGGCCGGCGCTGGTGAAGAAGTCCCTGCTGAGGGCATGTGGACACTGAGGCTTTCACCAGCTGGGTTGAGTCTGTTGATGGTGGGTGGGGTGATCTGAATTCTTACAAAAACCATAGAGATCATCTCCAACTTGGTCCAGTTTGGAAGAATTACATTTTCTGTCTGGTGCTTAGGAGGGAATGGGCGAATGGACTATAGGGATTATGATCAGGGATTATACAGGTACTACTATAGGGATCCATTCCCCCATTCCCTCCTAAGCACCAGGGAGATTTTCATGGATGTCTCACAGGTGTCCTTGGTGGTCTCTTGCTCTTGAGACTTTTCCGCGACCACTCCTGAAAATGGCTGATGTGAAAGAGCGACGGGTGCCGCTTATGAAATAAGCTTGAGGAGACTGGAAGTCTTCATAAGAATTGTCAACAGTATGATGTATGAGACACGGCCTCACTGCTAAAACTTGTTAAGTACACAGGAGCTCAAACTATGCAGATAAGCAGAAGGGTTTTCAGTCAGCAGGACTAAGTCCATGTCTCATATCCCAAGTCACGTCTGATGCGAAGACTTGACAGATGATGCATGTCCGCAGGCTCTCATGTTTGTGAGAGATCAGCAATGCGAGTGCAGTGACGGTTGAGCATGAGGCATCAGCCTCCTCCCGCTTAGCGCAATCTCTACGCATATGGAGTCAACCGTGCCAGCAGTGCCAGCAACCGAGAGGATGCTTGGCAACCATTTGGGCTGTGCTTACCTGGACCCTGAAGTGGTGGCACATAAATTAGCGTAAGAACTCAAAACAATGACAACGATCCGGCATTTGACAGATACGATCTTTGCTTTGCTACAGCCATCTTGTGCCAACTGCGGCCAATTGAGTGGGGACAAAGCAGAAGGTTGAGGCCTGTCCACCCCACACATGAGCCTTCGAGGTGTTACAGGGGGCTGTGAACCAGATACAGGGGAAGTCAGAGTTGCTTTGCATTGTGCCGAGGAAGAGCCATGGGCCTACGGAGACGACGCAGCTTCTGAAACCCTCCAGGACTGTGCCGGATGGCAAGGCCACAGGCCGGTCTCTGCAAAGCAGAGCACATACACCACACAGCTGCATCTGCTGCTCTGCGGATAGAAGCAGCTCACCAGGCCCACAGCTGACGCTGAACCTTGTCGTCTGTGGCCTCGGCACGGGGATTTTCGCGTTGCCATGGAGCACAGCAGGCCGCGTGTGCGGAGGAAACTCTTGCATTGATGCTTGCGACATTTCGCCTGTTCATTCGTGCAGGTGCATCTTGCACGGTCAGTGTCTTGATTGTGGCAGCAGTTCTTGCTCTGAATGCCGCTAGCTTGGTCCGGAGTGTAGTTTGGCAGCCCTCCTGGGTCCTAGGAGTGTTCCTGAGGCCTGGACTATTTTCATCTTGATCGAGGCGGCAGAGATTCACCAGGCTTATGACATTGGGACTCTCCTATCCCGCATGCCGGGGCCTGTGGAGTCAGAGCTGCCGAGACGTAGCTTTGGCTGCCCCAGGCCAGGAGCTCTAGGACGAGCAGCGCCGCCAGCAGTGAACGCAGTCATTTGGTCCGTGGCCGAAGATTTTTTTGTGGAGCAGGCAGCGGTGCCAAGTGCACATCATCCTAGGATTGGAGGATTTTTCTGCCTCGTCTCCTACGTGATTGTCATTGCCGGGTGCTTGGCGCTTGGCGCGGACTCATGTAAAGTGTGGAGAGAAGGTGTTGTCTGCCATGTGCCAGCTCTTTGGGCAGGCAGACTGCGCTGGCCCGCTCCTGGGAGAACCGAGCTGGAAGCTCAAAGCCGTGACTTCAGCCTTGGCCCGGACCTCACAGACGCATCGTGAATTGTGACGCATTGCTGCTGAGAAGTTCACTGCATGACTTTGGAGGTCCTGCCTCTTTGCTTCTTGGAAGTGGCCTCAGGTGAAATGTGGCTTTCTGAAATGCGTTTTGCTACTTCAAATCAAAGCCTGTGGCAGAGACTCGTGAGCACACAGCCAGCTTGCACCTATCCTGCCCACCCCTTTGGCTTCAGTTGAGTTTCTTCCTTGCTGCCATAGCTGAATCTGTTTCTGCAGATGGGACAGGACAACAGCAAACAGCGAGGGTTGGTTGTGCCAGACAAAGCACTACAGCCATTAACCCAACCCACACTACAGGTTTACTGTGGGAAGCTAGGCGCTGCTCTTTGATGATGGCGGCCTGCCTCTGCGACCCGCCGAATGTGCGAAGGGTCTCGCTCCAGAAGTCCTTGGCACTTGACTTTCCCGCAACCTGGCGACGAGAGGCCAGGCGGGAACCCTTGAGATCGTACTTCAGGGACAAGTTGAAGCTTGAGGTGTCTGTCGGCCAACGTACTCATCCGCCCTCACCGAGCTCCCAGTCGCGCTTCGCGCTGCCTGATGGGTACAGCATCGCCGAGAAACTAGGAGAACCAGCGGTGTTTTTAAGCATGATCATATCTGGTGTCGTAAGACGTCACGGTGAGAGCTGCCGCATTGCACTTCAGGAGGCGGAAGAACAGCAGTGGTGTATAGAGTTCTTCGCGACTCCGACAACCAATCCCTGGCAGCCAAGTGCGTGCACGATCCCGATGAGGAAGTGCGAAAAGTCACTACAGAGGCCGCTTGTCTGCAGGCTTCTCTTCGCATCCAGCTGTTGTTGGTCCATCATCGGATAGCAGTAGGCGGCCAGCAGGCAGCGAACATCACATACTGTATCCCTCGTGTCTAAGGAGTATGAGCTGCTGGCTTCCCTCAAGCATAGTGGTATTGTCCAGGCTTTTGGTGCCTTGGCTTGCAGTGGAGGCTCAACACTCCTGAGGGGCATATCGTCCTCGGGATTTCTTCTGTTCTCCAATGGTTGTGAGAAGTTCAGTATGTTGGACAAAAGCAGCTGAGGTCTCTTCTCCTCAGAAACCTCGATGTGTCTCCTCCTGGAGTTCTGCGAGGGTAGTGCGGGCATCTCAGTTTCCTCGGCATTGCGAGGCTGCATACTATGTACCAAAATTCTGGGTTGCTGTTCAGGCACTTAAATTAAGTCACCAGAACATGAACATACCTTAAAAACTATGCATCCTTTGTGATATTAAGCTAGTATAGGCCTGTTAACAGCAAGCCAGGAAACGTTGGAGTCTTTCCCTATGCAACACCAACATATGCCTCAATATGCTATGGTAGTTTCGATTTTCGTTTTCATTATCCCTATATAAAACCTATATAACCCTATATGCATATGTATATATATATACATACGCATATGTATATATATATATGACCGAGTTGAATCAATGCCTGGAGCGGAGCGGCCTCTTCCAAGAGAGACCGGCCCTTCGACTTTTCCGGCAGCTGATAGGAGACATCGCAAGATTTCTTCTCAATGGTGTTTCAATGAACCATCCTTATACGATACAGTAGTTTCCATGTCTTCCATTATCCCAATATAACCCTAATATAGCTAATATGACCCCAACGCAACCCCAATGGCAGCTAAAGCATGGCGGTCAGGGCTTTCCCGCACCCTTTTCTTACATCGTATCTGATTATTCTGGCAAATTTTGTGTTTGCGATATGACGATGTTCCGCTACTTTAGGGTCCAAGGTCAAATCACGAAAGACAGCAGAGGTAGTCTTGTGCAACCTCGCCTTAGCAGTAGCAGCGGACAAGGTCCAGCAGAGGAATAGATATAAGGGTTATATAGGGGATTATGGACAAGAAAATGGAAACTATTAGAGTATAATAGGATATCTATACAAAGCAAGGTCCGCCCCTGAATGGATTTTGGTCTTAGCGGGAACCTGCTGCACCGGCTTTAGAAACACCGACATTGAGATGACACGTCAGCATCTACTTCCCGAGGGTTGTAAAGTCCAGGTACGGACTTCGCGGCGCCCTCGAGCTCTCACAATCCTTTGACAAGAACGGTTGAATTTTGGGATGGGTTTAAACAACTCTGGCATCCATTGTAGATCTCATCGCCCTGTGATCTTGTATTTGGCTGGCTTGGATGCTAGCGGAACTCGAGTTGATGCTCGATGCTTGGCCTCACCTTCACTGATGCCCGAATGTCAACGAACATGGTCAAAACAGTCAACATGCAGTAGTGCAGATGGCACATGCAATGCCCACATAGCCCGCAGGAGCTGTCGACTTTTTGCATCAGAGACGCATTGTTCACAGGGCGGCTTGGCTTGTTGTCTCGCTTGACAGCGTTGCAATGTCAGAGCTGCGTCTCTTGCCTCCAGTTTGTACCCAGGACATCAAACCTGACAACTGCTTGCTTACTGATGGCGAGCAAGCGTTGAAGCTCACAGATTTCAATAGTGCCAAGGCCTGGGCTCAAAACGCTAAACCCTAATATTACCCCAATATAACCCTCATAGTAGTTTCCATTTGCTTTTCCATTATTACTATATTACCCCAATATAACCCTTATAGTAGTTTCCATTTGCTTTTTTTTATCATCATTATATTACCCCAATAAAACCATAGTGGTAGTTTCATTTTTTTCATTATTACTATATTACCCCAATATATACCCTATAAAAACACCAAAAAATACCTTATTATGGTAGTTTCCATTTTCTTTTCCATTATTACTATATTACCCCAATAGAACCCTTATAGTAGTTTCCATTTTCTTTTCCACTATTACTATATTTCCCCAATATAACCCCTATATAAGCCAAGGCTTGGGCTCAAAGTGAAGCTCTTGAGGGGGTTTAGGGTTTAGGGTTTAGGATGTGTTGCCTTCACTTAACGTTCAAAGCAGGTGATTGGCCAAGGGGAGGGCAGCACGATCATGCTTAGTCAGCGTGGCACGAAGGCCAGGGCTTCTGAAATATTGTAATAACACATTATAGTACATTTTGGTATATTATAGTATCTTATGATATATATATATATCTAATCGTATATTACAGTATATCATAGTGTCTGGAGTGACTAGTCGGCGCAAGCTGGACTCCTCAGCAGCCTTCATTTTGTTTGCTTTTACGCAGCTCACGTCAGCAATGCTTTGCCAGGATTTTTCTGCCCCAGAGCTCTTGTTGGGTGGCCTTTGGAGATTTGGCTGAAGTTTACAGATTGGACAGGGCTTGATGTTTGTCAGGAGGACAATTGGGCTTGGACAGCTGTGGTTTGTTTGACGCAGGGCTTCTGTAGATGAGTTTCCCGATGAACTTAGCATGCGCTTCTGAGGAATGAGCGAGTAGACATTTGGGCTAGTGGGCTTTGCCGGATTCTCAGTGTGGGTGAGAGCCGCTCTCGTCCACTTTTCCTGAAGCTGTAGCACCAGGTCTTTATTTTATGATGCGCGGCTCTCTTCCATGGCCTTCCCTGCAACACGCGAAGAAGGCGTTTGTGACGGGAGTCCTGCCGCAGGTGCTCAGTCTGCAGTTAAGGCGCAGCTTCCTCATGTTTGCCCTATGCACACATCAGAAACATTTGCATGATCATGCTAAGGTGGAGTGGAAGTGCTTGTCGGCACACATGGTGGATTTGATTCAGTCCTGCCTAGTGGTCGACGCATTTGCTCGTCCCCCGGAGTGGGCCTCAGAAGACCTGGGTGACAGTTGCAGCGGGGATGCTAACTGAGTTTAGATCAATCTGAAAACGCATAGTCCAGCTCTGCCATCCTGTGCCGACTGAGGCAATGAAGATTTTGAATCACACAGCACTTCAAGGACCTGCATTTGGCCACGGCATGTGAATGTCATTCTTGCGGTGGCCGATCCGCTTTTCAACAAACGACCTGCGAGGCATTGGGTTGGATGCGCGGCTGGCAGGTGTCGCGAGGCAACTTGCTCAAGACTTTTCATTGAATCAATCACCCACAAACACAACGTATGGGACTGGACGACCTGGCTCAAAGCTAGCCTGGAGTTCAAGATGTTGTGAAGCCATTCTTGATTTCGCTATATCACAAAACCATGTCCGACAAAGCTTGTTGTCCAAAAAGAAGCGTCAGCGACCTGCGGCTATTCTTGAGCGGTCTAGGGGCACTACTGAAAGGGGCATGCTCCTCAATCTCATGTTGAGAAGAATCCCTGCAACCTGTTTTTGTAGCACCAGGTGCTCAGTAGCTTGGGGAGGAATGACAGAGAAGTACTTTGACAGTTACTATGCTACGTGTGAAGGATAAGCTGCCCATGCTGCAGACACCAGGCACCGGGACAAGGCAAGTCAAGTGCACCCATGCCAAACAGCACGCGGCTACTGATTGGCGTTTGCAAAAAGAATGATGATGACGATGATGATTATGATGATGATGATGATGATGATGATGATGGAGATGGAGGATGAAAGTTGCTTGCAAGGGTTTTGGCACTCCATCTCAGACATATCCTTACTAGTCCGTCATTTTTGCAGCCCTTGCTGTGAGGTTCTAAGCTTGGAGTGCCCAACTGCAAGTGGAGATGCTCAAGCAACAAATTCCCTTTTGCATTGCCCGAGCTTTTAACGATTCTTCCACTATCCTCTGAGTTTCCCACTGTTGCCAACAGGCTAGACTCTCTGAGTGCGGATTTTCGTCTAGAAAGCGGGAATACACATGATTTTCAGAAAGCTTTCTTGGCTTCAGGTGAGTTTGATGGTAGATGTGCTGACTGATGTTTGGAAAGACAAAGCAATCGTAACGTGCAATTTCAGCTATATGTTGAAGCCAGGTTTTTTCAGGGATTTGGCCGCGGAAAATCCCCGAAAATCTGGGTACAGGATTTTAGTCTTATTTGGGAGAGGGAGGAGTCTTCGTC